ACATGGCGACTGCACAGTCATGAAAATGTTGATTTCATATGTAATTTTCTTGTAAACTTGGGGGATCTAACCCGTCGAAATGCAACTTCGGTACATGAAAACTCTTCTAAACCCGCAGGTAATTGTGTTAATGATGTTGTACTTCCTGATTTTGTTCTAGAACTACAATTAAGTTTCATCATCAACAACGAAATGCAGCTCCCATTGTGATCATTTTGATGTGATTAGCTACTCGGATAACCTACACACGAAACGGTTGAAGAGCCAAAGTGTCCGTGGCATTTTGATCGTTTTCTCTGCCTTTTTATCAGTCAAAACGTCATCGCGCTTTACTGATATCGACCCTTATTAGTACTGTTGATGGTCAATCTGAAAATACAAGCTCAATAAAATTAGGGGAATTAAAGATAAAATTTTAAATTAAAACACCACTGTATTTTTTATCCCCTTTCACTGCATGTGGTTTCCTAACCATTGAAGTTGTGTGGACAATATTGAGTAGTCGAAAGGCGACAAGAACTTCAAATTTTTACACGTTTTTTTCAGTTTTTTTTTTATATGTTAGTTAGTTTTTTTTTTTCTGATGGTAAACATTCTTTTTTGTGACATCTGTTATTTAAATGAAGAGAAATCCATAACTGTCATTTAGTTGAAACATTTGCAAAATAGTGGAAATCATAACAATGACTGTTATGTCTTAGTTAACATCCCTTGCAGCTTCCTGCTGTCATATTGCAATGGAACATGGAAAATGCGTGGCCCAGTAGTTAATCCTCTAATTGAGTAGGGGGAGGGGCTGAAAGATACAGATGGGGAAGAAAGCCACCAGAAAATGTGGTGTTGTGCTGGCCACCTCAACCCTGAATTATAAATAAATAAGTATCAAATCAAAGTTAATATTTGTTAAATTTTCAATATTTGAGGATGGAGCCTGCAGGGTGACAGCAATGGCATGGTCACCAAACAACACCAAAATGGCGGTAGTGACAATGGATAGAGTTGTTATACTGTATGATGAACTTGGTGAGAGGAGAGACAAGTTTTCAACAAAGCCAGCAAATGCACAGGTATTTTCTAGACTTGATGCCTGATTTGAATCAGTATCCTGACCAGAAAGGCAAGGGCAGCAAGTCTACTTACAGTCAATTCCTACCTTCTGGGCCTAATCACTATTATCGTCACCCTGTTGTTGCAGGATGAATTTAAGTCCCAGGGGGAAGATTGTCAAGAAAAACAGAAAATAACTCCTGATATTGCAAACGTCCCTTGTTATGCAGACCAAATTGTGTTTGTGAATGTGTTCATTGTAGTAGGAGTTGATTGTATGGATGCGTTTTATTGTTCAAGTGTGAGCTCGTCTTAGCTGGATATCAGGCAAGTGCCTGATGTAGTTAAATGTTTCATTGCTGTCCTCTTGGCACCCACAGGTGTGTAAATAGGTACCTTTGAGCAAATATGCTGTGAAGTAACCCTGAGATGAACAAGCATCCTGTCCAGGCAGGAGTAGAAATACTCCTTCCTAAACATGCTACAGAAACTTCATGCTATGGAAACTGGGATAAGCACTCCTGTCTATATATATAATCTTCTGACCCCTATGCAGACTTAATCATACCTTACCTGTTGGCAGTTAGCTCTTTGTGTTCCACTGTAGGAAACCAATGTTGGTGTATTTTGGGGCTATAACATACATATTTTGGATTTGCTGTGTATTTATTTTATAATATAAGTTGAGTATCTTGTCTCATGGTAGTAATAAGTTATGTTTTGTTCTATGTCACATTTGTCAGGCTGGAAAGAAGAGCTACATTGTGAAAGGACTTGCCTTCTCTCCAGACTCTACCAAGATTGCTGTGGGACAAACAGACAACATTATATTTGTTTACAAAATTGGAGAAGAATGGTAATTTGAGTTAATTTTTTTTAGTATACATGACTTGTTTATTGTCTTTACAAAAATTCCTAAACATTATTAATGATTGTTGTATATATAAATAAGAACTTATGCATTAATCTACGATTTCACCTTGTGATTTTAGGGGTGATAAAAAAGTCATCTGCAACAAGTTTGTACAACAGGTTTGTTATACAATGCATTTACAATCTTTTTTTCGCTAGAATTATTAGCTATTACTACTACAGGCAGTTATTTGTTAACTTCAGACTGTGGAAGCCAAAGTCTGTACAAATGCTTCTAAAGCCATTAGTAGCTCATAAACAATATTTTTGTGTTTCTGTATTGCAGAGTGCAGTCACATGTTTGATATGGCCACCTGAGCAACAAAACATTATCTTTGGATTAGCAGATGGAAAGGTAAATTTACATACATGTAACAGCATGTGCATGTAATAGTTACCTGTCAGGGCATCGACATACTTTTTTTCTTATTGTCGCCTTATTTTCAGCAGTTCAACCAAGATCAGTACAGGGGTCATTGTTTTAATTTATGGAGTTAAATCAAAATTGTGCCAACATCGAACCTTTACTGATGGTCATCTCTCAATAACAGCCACCTTTCACCATTTGTACAATTCTCATTTTCACCCATGTGCCGATCCATACAAAAATGTATGCTATACTCTTAATAGCCAGCTAATTCTTCCCTACTGGCTAGGTAGGATGGCCATTGCAAAGCGGTTTGACTATGTGATCAAACTGTTACTTAACATGAAGTTAACATACAATGCCATCAACTCTGAACTTCACAGGTCCGTAGTGCAAACCTTAAGACCAACAAATCAACAACACTCTATGGGACTGACAACTATGTTGTTTCTTTGGCTGCAAAGTAAGTTGTTCCAGTTACCGTGGACTGCTATTGTTATTACATCTGTTTAGAGCAGCTTTCACGTGAATGTCTAATTTGCATTGGCTTTGGTTTAGCACTGACAGTAACGAAGTGATTGGTTCAAAAAACTTATACCTTTTTGTCATCTAATCAGAAGTAAACCTAAAACTTATTTTATTGTGACTCACTTGTACAGGTTTTCTCATGCTTTGCATCAGCTACATGATATGCAGGGTTCCAGATAAGTTTTCAAGGCATTGTGTCAAAAAGGAATTCCAATGGGTCAATTCCCACTGCTCACACTAAATCATTATAAATTTTCTGTTAATTTGTCGGGTCATGTAGCTGATCTTGTTGGGTTTTTGGACGCTCACTTATCTGGAACACTGTACATGTATTTGCTTGGAGGTGACACTGATCTACTGAATTGTCTGCGTCCTTTGTGGTTGACCAGAGTGATTGCTTTGGTTTTAGTTTTACAACACTCAATTGAAAAATGCCTCATGGTATATTATATTTATTCGAATAAGCGCCCAATCTTGAATTAGCACCCACCTCGAATATTAGTGCTCATCCTAAAGGCAGTAGAAGTTAATAAGCGCCCAGCCTCAAACAAGTACCCACTCCACACCCCTCCCCGTCCCACTCAAACTCAAATAAGTATGTAAATAATACTAAATACATATAGATGGGGGGGATACATATAACCCAGGGGGATGCTAATAAACAGGGGGCTTATAACTGAAATCTTCTGGTACACTGGTACCAACGTACTGTGACTATTTGTATATTATTTTATAGTGTATCAGGGAAAGGAATTCTCTCTGGTCATGTTGATGGAGCCATTGTCAGATTCTTTTTTGATGACGAGGGAACAGGCTTATCCCAAGTACGTCAAACCTTAATGATATCAATTTTATATGCTTTATTAATATTACTTTCAAGTTTTTCCAGTAGTGCAAAGGCAAAAGTCAGTTGCCTGTGGCACCTGGGCACTTCTAGA